ATATCTGCTGTGTAAACAAAGTCCATAAAAGAACACTAGAGGGAGAGCTCAGTCTTTTTGTTTTTATTAATTCTAGTTAAAGGATAACTTATAAAGCAAATGAAGACTATTCTCAATACACCAGACACAATGATCTTTTTAAAGTCAAATCATGTCACAAGTGTGTTTAAACTCTTCAATGATTTATGGCCACTCTTAGAGTAAAAGCTAAAATCATAATAAGGGCCTGTGAGATCTGCCCTGTCCCTGATCTCACTGACCTTATCTCCCACTGTGCTCATTAGGTATTGTGCCTGGATTATCTCAAGCAAGCTTCTCTCTCAGGGCCTTTGCATTGGTTATTCCCTCTGCCTAGGATGCTCTTCACTCAGAAACTGGCATGACTGGCTCTTTCATTCCATCAGTTCTTTTCTTAAATATCACCTTCTTAGTGAGACCTTCTCTGATGACTCCAATTTAAAATTGAATCCTGTGAACACCCCTTTAACTCCAGTCTATTTCCTTGCTTCATTTTTCATCATATGAAATACTTACCATGCATTCGTTTTTTTAAAAAAAATACGTTTATTATTTGTCTCCGGCTAGAATGTAAGCTTAGTGCTCTGTGAGATTCACTCTCTCTGTCTACCTCTCTCTCTGTCTCTCATTTGTTTTGTTCACTGGTGTATCCTCAGTGCCTAGAATATTGGCACATAGTAGGCACTCAAATATTTATAAATGTATGAATGATTGAAGGGTAATTAGGAAGTCCCCTCAGTCAGCTTCTCTCTCCTTAATCAGCTTCCTGGAGCCTACATCTCCAAAATTAGAATTGTTTTTAAGACAAAAATAATGCATTCAGCTTAAAAAGAAAATAAGGAAAAGGAAAACCCCTAGGGAGTGATAATATATTAATTATGAGTAGTAATTTACATCTCAGTGTGACTGAATTTACCAGACGTGATTAGAGGCTTTGTTCTGTTAAGTAGAGGAAGCCTAGGACTGAGATCCTGGGACTGTGGAAAGGAGAGTGTATTAGTCCATTCCTGTTGCTTATAATCAAATATTTGAAACTGGGTGATTTATAAAGAAAACAAAATTTATTGCTTACAGTTTCTGAGGCTGGGAAATCCAAAGTCATCTGGTGATGGCAACAGTGACCCAGGGGTCTCACATTGGAAGATGGTGGAAGCAGAGAAAGCCGAGAGAGAAAAACCTCCTCATTCACTCTCCTTTTAAAGCCCTCTAATCAACGCCATGACCACCATTTTTAATCCATTGACTATGGCACAGTCCTACAACCCAATCACCTTTTCTAGGCCACACCTTTCAATTACCATAATAGGATTTCCTATTAACAGACACAGTGGGGGCCAAGTCACCCTCTTTTTTTTTTTTTAAAAGATGACTAGTAAGGGGATCTTAACCCTTGACTTGGTGTTGTCAGCACCACGCTCACCCAGTGAGCTAACCGGCCATCCCTATATAGGGATCCAAACCCATGGCCTTTGGTGTTATCAGCACCACACTCTCCCAAGTGAGCCACGGGCCAGCCCCAAGTCACCCTCTTAATAGTCACAGTGGCGGACAAGTTTCTAATACATAAAACTTGGGGAACACAATTCAAGCTTCAGTGAGTTTTGGGGGGACATTATTCAATCCACTACAGGGAGGAAGGAGACAAGGAATACAGTCTACTTTTTTCACATTTCTCAGTGGGACTGGCCCTAACATCACAGACAATGACATTTTATTTATTTACTTTTAAGATTTAAGGATTCCACATTTTGTTTTATTTTGAAACAATCATAAATTTATAGAAAATAGATAACAGAGAATGTTTTTGTTATGAACCATTTAAAAATATGTTGCTCACCTGATGCTCTGTTGTCTCCAAACATTTTAGTGTATATTTACCACAAATAAATACAGTCTGCTATATAACCACATTACAATCTTCATACTTAGATCCCAGTGAGGTTTCACCAATTATCCCAATAATGTCCTTTATGGCCAAAGTATTCTGATTCAGAATCACATGTTGCATTTAATTTGAATGTAGGTGGAAACAGTTTAACTGTACTTCTGAACTTTTATAACTTATGTCTCTTTGGTATTTTTTGGTGTAGAACAGTTCTTCAGCCTTTCTTTGACTTTATGACCTTGACAGTTCTAAAGATTAGAGCCATGGATATGTCTAATATTTCCGCATAATTGAATTCAGTTATAAATATTTGGCAGGAATATCACAGAAATGATATTGTGTTCATTTCCTCCTATCATGTGGCTCATGATTTGATTTTTCCCCGACCTATGATGTTCATTTTGATTATTATATTTTATAATATTTTTTTAATGTCTGCCAGTCTTCTCCACTTTAATGTTAACTTTTTTCCTTTTATAATTAATAAGTATTATGTGGGGAGGCACTTTGAAACTATATATATCCTATTTTAATCAAAATTTTACTTATTAATTTATATTTGTATAAAGCCATGGTTTCCTATTTTAGTGAGTAGACTATAATCTGTTGCTATTGTTTTTTACTTTGATGTTCAGATTGGTTCTAATTTAACTAGTGGGAGCCCCTTCAAGCTGGCTTCTTCCTGTAACTTGTTCTGGTCATCTTTATTATGCCCCAGCCATAGGACCTAGCACTGAGCCTTACATATGCTATTCGCTCAGTAAATATTCATTGAATACCTAGAAAGAAGGGTAATAAGCAAATTTTTCTTTCCAGATTCTTCCTTCCATTATTACTCATCTGCTCACTCCCCAACTCCTCCACAGTGACCTCAGCTTTTATAATTCACTTCTCTGTACTTCAGCTTCAGCTATAATAAAGAACTGGCTGTGGCCCAAAAGTGATGTCATTTTATGCATCAATATTTTAATTATATCATTTTCCACTTTCATTACTAAGTTCTACCCATTCCTCACAATTCAGCTTAGCTGTCATGCTCTCCAAGAAGTCTCCCCTGACCCTCGTCACCCATCCCCAGGCTGAGCTAAGTGCTATAAATATGGGCTCCAATAGTACCTTCAAATATCTAATAATGAAATTGCCACAGTACATGGAAATTGGCCACTTTAGTTGTTTACTTGTAGGCTGTAAGCTCTTTGAGGCTTCTATCTTTATATTTACAAACACTTGCACAGGTTTAATAAATGTTTATTTGGTAAGTGGGAGAATGAAAGAATAAACAAACTTATCATATTCCTTTTTTGTTCTAGTTTTTATCTCTTTAATTTACCTGTTTGTCCGGTCAGCTGATCACCCATATATATATATTTAATTTCCTCACCTAATTTTAGGCAGAAACAATTTTTATTATCTTAAAAAACAAATGAACAAAAACCTCTTGGCCATCAAACAGAAATCAGAAATGAAAAATGTCAAAAATGGCAAAAACTGAGTTCTGCTTACTCATCTAGCCAAAAATTATCACTTTCTAATTTCTTATGATTGATATTCAATAAACAACTTTCTGCCAAGGCCCTCTACAACAGAGTCACATTGTAAACATCACTTTTTCACAAACACATGTATTATTTATATCTATTCTTTTTTCTCCCTGAGAAGATACAAAGGAGGTCCTGCTGACTTTCTCTATCAGGTCTGCTCCTTTCTATTTTTACAGACTCTGTCTTTAATCACTTTCAATTTAGTTTGCTCAAGTCGCATCAAAGGAGTAATTCAGTATACTCAAAATTAAGCAAACAAGAAATTCCTATTTCTTTCTAAAGGGATTCAAATTATACACAATCTACAATTTGTAGCCTGGCTTTTAAGGCTATTCATCTCACACTCACCTCTACCAGCACTCTCCATCTTATTTCCTCTATCTAAGAAAACACATTTCCTTGTACTTTCAGATATGCATTTAGCATTGAAGCCAAGGAAATATACTTTCAGTATACTATAGAAAATTTGCAAATTTCTTCATTGTTGTCTTTGTACATGTGTTAGAGCTTTGCAATTTTCTTTGTGCCATGATTCATCTTTCGAATCCCTGTTTACTTCTCTCACCTCTAACAAAATTTTCTTAATTATCTCCAGGTCATATTAATTGCTCCTGTATCATACAATCTTTCAACATTTGGATTTTACGTGAAGTAAGAATATTTTAATCTTTATTTATATGTTGCTCTAAAAAGTGTTCTAAAAGATCTTCACATGTGCACTCTTAGATCACTGAAAACAGATGTACTATTCTACCCTACCAGGTTTAATCTAGCCGCACTTTCATATAAGATGATGTCTTAATAGGTGCTGTTGACTTATTTTCTTACATCTAAGGGTACTTGATAAATGCTCTGAATTAAATTAAATTGAATTGGCTGCTCATCTTCAATAAACTATTTACAAGTAGTAATGAAATAAAGGAAACAGTAAATTTAAATTAGAGTTAGTGTTTAAAGCTAATAATATTTCCAGTAATCCTACCCAGCTTCTAACATTTGCATGAAGCTTTATTATATATATGCTAATGTTTCTTCTACTTTTCATCTCTCCCCCCAACCCACTCCCAATACCACCAAACATCCATAGGAAGAAAACCCAAAACAAATTGAAAGGTATACTATAGAATATCAAAAGTTTCACATTAGTCCCAGTGCTCATTTTTATTTATGTATCTGGTATGATGGCATCATATTAATATTCTTTACATTTGCAGCTTTATTTATGGCCTCCCTATAACAAAGGATAATACCTTAATTTATATCATAAAGTTTAGAAAATTTACTTATCTAGACAATTTAGCAATAAGAAACAATAAAAGAAAATGCCATAGTAAATGCTTCTTCCCATTCTATATAGGTTAATGAAAAATTCTTTTTCTTGGAATATTACATAAAAATTAATTATGTAAAAAATGTTATTTTGAATAAAAATTTTTGTATATTATATTCACTTTTATGTTATTTCTTTTAAAGAACAAACCAGAAATATCGAACCTGCTAAAATATTTAGTTAATGGATAAGACAAACTAGATTAAAATTTTAAACAATAACTTACAGGATCAGCAGGTCCACAGAATTCTCGAAATGTCTTTGTAAGATCATTCTGTTGAATCTCGAGTGCTACGCAGGGGCCAGAATACATTTCTGTCACCATCTCCTATGATATGTAATATAAAACACTTAAATGAATTTTACAATCTTTATCCCTCCTCTTTTAGTTATGCATTATCCCACTAATCTCAAAATGTTAAAGTCATTTTTGACTTCTTCCCCACCTGCATCCCACACACTAAGCAGTTTCCAAATTCTGTCCATTTTTCCTGCAAAAAAAATTTTTTAGATATGTTGCCTCATCTCCATTCCTACCACTATCAACATTTTAAGGTAATGCTTTACCATCTGACACTTTCATTATTTGAAATTATCTTCCACTATATCTTCCTTTCAAAGGTCTCTCTCCCATGGAACATAACAATGTTGTCAAATTAACATTCCTAAAAATATAAATTTCAAAGTTTTTCTCCTGAAGAATCTTTTAAAAATCATAATGCATTCTAGCGATAACAGGGACCAAATTTATTCTTCTATATTAAACATCTTGAGAGAAAAGAAACAAATTAGGTTAGCATATAATGGTTCCATCTTACTACCTGGAGGTGGTTTCCAGACCATCTGACAGGTAGACAAAACACAACAGAGCCCAATGTTCTCACTGAGTTGAGGAGAAAGACTGAAGTGCAGTGAAGTCGATGGAGTCAGAATTTTCAGGGCAGAATACCGAAGAGAGAAGAGGAGCTATACAGAGAATAAAGATATAGGATCTGCCAAGAAGTTCACATGAGTCTTTGGCTAAGAATCTGTGGTATGTATAGGGAAAATGACCTGAGGCTGGGGAAAGAATCACCAGAAAACATTGGACAAAACAACTCAGAGAGAAAACACAAGGCATAGAAGAATTTGTGTTTCTATCAGCCAGAGTGGAAAGCCCTCATATGATACATGGATTATCAGGTAGAGTCCTCAGAAGGATATTACACCACAGTAGTTGGCCTAAATTAGCCCTAGATTATGAGATACTCTGTATCCATCCTACAAAGTTTAAGAGCAAGCCTCAAAAGGATCAAACTAATTCCAAGTAACTTAACTAAGTGCCAGAACAAAGTCAAACACAATTTAAAGTACAACAGTATCTACCATGTAACACTGCAAATTTTACAATATCCAGCATCCAGTAAAAAATTACCAGGCATGAAAAGAAGTAGAAAAATATGAATCATCACAAGAACACTCAATAGAGACAGATCCAGCAATTACAGAGATAATATAATTAATACAAGAATGTCAAAACAGCTATTATAAATAAGCTCCATGTGTTTACATTATAGAAGAAAGATGGACATGATGAAGGAAAAAAAAGCAAAGATATTAAAAAGACCCAAATGAAACTTAACAGAGATGAAATCTAAGACATCTGAATTAAAAAAACACTGGATTGGATGAACAAGATAAGACACTGCAGAAAAGCAAATGAATTTGAAGACATTCAATAGAAACTATTCAGAAGTAATAATAGAGAGAAAAAAGAAGGAAGTAAAATAAAAAAAAATGATCTGTGGAACAATGTCAAGCTGTCTAATATATGTATAATTGTATTCTCAGAAAAGAAGGTAATGAACAGAAAAATATTTCAAGAAATATTTTCTAAAAGCTTTCCAAATTAGATGAAACCCATAAACCTACAAATCCAACAAAACTCAAAAAGAATAAATGTAAAGAAAAGTACAGTAGGGCACATCATAACCAAATTAGCAAAAAACGAAAGCAAAAAAACCTTAAAAACAGCCAGAGGGGAAAAAAAGGCATATTACATAACAGCAGAACAAAGATAAGGATGACAACAACGATTAAAAACAAACAAACAAGCCCACCCCCAAAACAAAAACCTGTCCATCTAAATTCTATGCCCAGGTAAGAAAATATTTTTCAGAAATGGATTAAAAAATAAAGACATTTTTATGCACACAAGAGCTGAGAAAATTCACCACAAGCAGTCTTAGACCATGAGAAATGTTAAAGGAAGTTCTTCAGGCAAAAGGAAAAAAAAAAAAAATCAGACAAAAATATGCATCCACACAAAACAATGGTAAACACGTGCGTAAACATAAAATACATTTTTTTTCTTTTTTAGTTGCTTTGAAAGATGACTGATTGTTTAAAGCAAAAATATCAACAGTGTTTTGTAGGATTTATAACATAGAATTAAAATGTATGATAACAATAGCACATAGGAAGGGAAAATAGGAAGTATATTATTTTAGGATTCTTAACTCTATATATGAAGTGGTATAATAAAAAAATATGATCAAAGAAAAATGCTGTTCACAGTGTCTGGAACACTCAATAAATCTTTTTTTCTCCCCTTTGAATAGGAAAGAATACTTTATGCAGAAATGAAAATAAATATAAAGACTTTGAGAGAGAAATGCAGTTGGGATACATGGAGATCAGAAAGAGGGCCAGGAGCTGGGTGAGACTATAGGGAAATAATAAGAGATAAGGCCAGATAACAGGGCCATATAAGCCATCTTAC